AATTTTTTGTTGCTGTTACAGGGGATTGAATTTGTTTTTTAATATTTATTTATTTTTATTTATTACATTTATTTATTGTGTGTGTGTGGCCAGCTCAGCCCACCAGGGAGCGGGGCTGGCTGGCATGTGGTGCTGGAGGATGGAACCGAGGTCCCTGTGCTTTGCCAAGCTTGTTTCAAGTAGGTGCTTTAGACCACTGAGCCATCTCTCCAGCCCCTTTTTTGGAGTTTCTAATATCAGCCCTGTACCACATTATCCCGGTACCAACATCACAGCTTACCTTGGGTCAAATTACAATCAACCTGTAGGATTTGAATAGAAACCCAGGGTGTGTGGCAAGGGCACGTGGCATGTGGGGGAGCAGAGGTGTTCCTGCAAGAGGCTGGAGCCGCATGCCCAGGGGCTTGGCAGCTGTGACTTTTAGTTTGCCACATTTCTTCTGGGTGCTGGTTCCATTGTTTCTAGGTCTGATCACATTGTTCCTCTGCATGGGTCCCATTGTTTCCGCATGTTGCATTGTGGCCAGATGGTGCTGTTACAGAACAGCTTGGAGCTGAGGTTTCTCTTGGGAGGAGCCCGCCTAGCCAGCCTGTGTTCATCCTGGGCGCTGGCTTCTCTCAGTTCATCCACCACGGGCCTGGTCACTTTATCTCTGTTCTGACCATCTCAGGCCTGGTCCCTTTTTAACTGCCTGGCGACTTCCACCTGACAACTATCTTCTGTTTCCCCAGATTGCACTCCAGGGTGAGCCATGGCTAGAGACAGGTGGCCAGGGAATCCTAGGACCAGGGTTCCAGGGGTGGAACCTGTGTGGATGATCGGACTTGCCAGGGTCCCAGGGGAGTGTGTATGAGTGACCCTGTGGGGGACAGAGACAGGGAGGCCATGCTCTTCTGAAGTGCGCAGAGCTGCCCACAGCCCTGACATCTGTCAACCATAATGACACAGCTGTGGCTCAGCACAGTGGCCTCCCGACCTGCTGGGGCCAGCTGGCAAGGGATGTAGGGTCCTCGTTTCCCCACTGTGAGGGGTATTTGTGAAACCTTGTTCCTGCCTCTCCAAGGGCTCCAGCAAGCCACACAGTCCCTGGGGTGCACGGAGGCTCCTGGCCCCAGGAAAGGGGGCTAAGAAGCAGCCCTGCCTGCTGGGGGACTTCCAGCAGCTACAGCTTCTCCACGGTCTGCGCCCTCCCCTGCTGTGGCCTAGTCTCCCCCATGCGCTAACCCTCAGCACTGGACCAGTGTCACAGCTCACAGAGTGACCCCACCCATGGGATGTGCTCACCCCCAGCCTGCCAAGGCCTGGCTCCTTCCTGGCCACTGCTGAGGTGGCCTGTGGTGAGCGGGCTGACAGACATGGGTGTTGTGGGCATTGCAGGAGTCTGGGTTACTTTTCTTTTGTTGCTGGACAAAATCACCAACACCCAGAATTAAGGAAGGAAAGGTTTATTTAGCTCACAGTTTGTGGAGGTTTCTGTTCACACTTGGCTGGCTCTGAGGCAGAGTGGCACATGGCAGAGGGCAGCAGCTCATGGTGGCAGAAAACAGTGAAGAGCAAAGGGAGGGGCAGCAGCTGCTGCCGGCCAGCAGGTCTGTCTCCCTCCCTTACGCCTGTCTCCCTCCCTTACCTGTCTCCGTCCCTTACGCCTGTCTCCCTCCCTTACGCCTGTCTCCCTCCCTTACGC